TTTACTTAAACACAGGGCCTCGCTAAGTTGCTGAGGCTGGCTTTGATCTCACAATCCTCCTGCCTCATCCTCTTGAGCCTCTGGGATTACAGGTGTCCACCACCAAGCTCAGCTTAGAGTGTGATTTTTTGGGAGCCTAATAGTCCAGAGTCTTTTCTTCCCTTTGTAAAACATAGTTAAGTGGCATACGTTCAGAATCAGTTAACTATAATTAACTTCATAGTACTAATACTCAAAAATGCTTTTTCTTTCTGAGGTTTTTGGAAAAAAAATGATCCTTTTCTCTCTTTTATAAAAATTATTGAAAAGTTAAATTCTCATAAAAGGTTTTTAGACATTTCCTAAATTTACCTGTTTATTTTTTTCCCCCACTGTTTTCTGAGTGGAAGAGATAAGTTGGTTGTTGCAGGTTGGGTTTCTCAAGAGCAGATGCTGAGTTGGGTATGGGATCAACACCTGAAAAGGGATTGGGAGCAAGAACAGCTTGGGAGAAGGAAAAAGAGGAATGTGAAGCAAGCTAAACAAGCAAGCCTCCACTAACCCTACTGGGAGCTCTGAAGAGTGGGGCCCATCAGAGCTGGCCCCACTGTGAGGAAATGATTTATCCCCTTCCAGCACAGGAACTGGGTTGCTGCACAGAGGGAGACAGATGTAGGGAAAGGTGCTCTCTGCAACCCAGGCAGACAGGGAAGGATATGAATAATAGTTATCAGCTGGTTGCCCACCACCACACTCCTCACAGCTGGTCAGCAAGGCCTGTTTTGGAGAAGAATATGGGCAGTACACCTCCATTCCTGCCACCATTGGTGTTAACCACCTTCACCTGGTAATACCTAGTTGCCTCTGTCAGAGGTACTTGCATTCTCTGCTTTATAAACATGTCATTTAATATTCCTAGACCATTTTTTAAATCATGGGGACAGCAACTCATAAAGAGGCTTGCCTTGAGTTTGTCCCTATGTTTCTCAGCCTAGTTCCATGAGCCAAGATTGGCAAACATTTTCCTTTGGGGAAAACTACCCTTAACTCCTGATCCTTGGCTCTGCATCCCTCTCTAGTTGGTGATCCCCATGGCAAATGTCAGGAATCGCCTGGCAGCGAGTCCTTCATCTTCAAAAATCTTCAGGAGCAACAAAAATGTAAACCAGAGTGATTCCTGGCTTGCTAGTCAGTTACCATCCACAGACCAACGTGGATAAGTGCTTTATGGTTGATTATGTAAACAACAAGCTCCACATGCCCCTCTCCACATGCTCCTTCTCCTTCTGCCTAAGGAGAAGCATCACCACAAGCCGACATGCACAGCAAGCCCTCGTCAATCAAGCTCTCCTAGGATTTTCTTTCCTTCTCTAGTATAATCATCTTTCCACCCAACAAGGAGCAGGCACTTTGCTAGGTTGCTATGGGGATTGCACTGAAGATAATCATTTGTGAACATGTACAGATTGTGACAGCCTGCTAGAGCCTGATGTTGCTTTTGCTCCTTCAATCTGAATGTGGCAATGCTGAGAACAGAGCATACATTCTAGAGAACTGCCAAGATCAAGAGAATTACCAGTCGCTCTAGACTCAAATCTAGCCCATCTTTGAGGTTGACTGAAGACCCAGATTTGTTGGCTCCTGATTTTATTCCTAATTCTGACCTTGTTCCTTACAGGTGTGAGTCTTTGAAAGACTTTTTTTCTATAAGCTGTTTCCTCAGCCTAAAATGGAGTGGGGAGGGTGTGCAGTTGATAAAGACGATGACTAACTTCAACATTCCAGGTGCTAGATGGCTGCTACATATATCCAAAGGGACGTCTGTTGGAGATTTATTCTCTATCATGAATCATTCACCTTGCAAGTAAAAGAAAAATTTGAATCAACTATTAATGATGCTTAGATAATAATGAAATAATATCCCAATCCACTAGTATTTTTAATAAGAGAATGATCAGTATAAAATTCTGGGTGTGGGGTGGTATGAGATTAAGATGCTCTTTCTCTTAAACCAACCCAGAGTCTACTCAAAACACATAAGAACTTAACTGAGCTTCTCCAAAATTTCATTCAAGAAAAGCAAACTGCCATCAAAAAAAAAAAAAAAAAAAAAACACAATGAACTCACTCTTATCCCTTCTACTGGGTGAGAGTGACACCTGCTGGCCATCTTCTCCTATGCAGCCATCTGGGGAAGGAGTCAGTTTTACAAGATTTCAACCAGTGCAAATATATCTGACCGAGAATGGCAGAGTTATTTAGAAAAGAATGCCTCAGGCCATTTATATAGGAGAGGTTCTATGAATAAGACACAAGAATATTTCAGTTACATATTCGGTGATTAGGAATAAGGAGATAAGGTGTCCAAAGGAAAAATAAATTTCATTTTCACACGCAGGCACACACAGAATAAATTGAAAAGTCTCCAAAAAAAATTGTTTCAAAATGTTCTCAATATTTATAAGTTTTTTTGATTTGTTAGTGATGGTTATGAGTTTATTGAAAATCAAGATCATATGGAAGACAAAACAGGAGACAACCCCACAAAATAAAATGGAGGGAGGGAGAAATAAAGATGGAGAATAAAAGGTGAATATAGAAAAAAAATATATGAATCAAAGCAGAAACAGAAATCCTGAATGAGGAAGCAAGAGAGATCATTCACTTCCCCAAGTAAGAACTGCCTGATAGCATCGAGCAGGGGCATCTCAGCTGCTGACTCACACATCTCACTAGGCTGGCTAGTCTCTTGAGCTGCCAACTTTCTATTTGTGACACTCTGTGGTAAGAGGGATTGTACATTTCCTGAAGTCCCTCCACAGAAAGCTGAACAGCCTCGGTCATGAAGAACAGAGTTCAAAGCAACACTATGAAGTTTCATTGAATGGAGGAGGTGGGCTCCTTAGAGTAAGATGGTATGGGATACTTCACTTCCGTATCATCAGTTTAATAGCACTGGGGTTATTATATGTGGGGAGACATAGGGCTTGCAATATAAGACATTTATATGGGTACAGGGGACCCCCAACAAAATGAACTCCAGGAGAGCAATAGAGGCATTGCAACATAACCAGCAGAAATTAAATATAAACTCAAATTATTCTGAATTTGATTGAAATTATGATAAAACACACCCTCTCTGCTATCATTTTTTTCACTCTATTCTGGGTAGAAGGCAGAAGATGATTGTTCTAGCTCTGCCACTCATAAGAAGTCATTTAACCCTCTGACTCTCTGTTTATTTGCTCATAAAATATGGACACGAACAATCTACTCTATTGACCTTGAAAAATTATGAAAACACTGAAATTTTCCAGGCTACACCAAAACCTGTGGGATCATAGAAAACAAAATTTTTTCTGATCAGGTGAGTGGTGGACAGCCTCAAAGAACTGAAAGATGCTGGACAAGAGCCATCTCCAAGCAGAGAAAGCATTCCCAAATAAATTTCATTTATTTGGCCTCACACTGGACCTTTGGGTGAAAGCTCTCAAACACCAGTCAGGAGGTCTGGGTAAATTATTAGCAGACGAGAATACTAGGCATGCACCAATTTCTGTCTCTCAATGTTAATTTAAATAAAAGTCCTATCCATTCTTTATTTGTACAAGCTGTTCTCGGGTTGATTTCAAATTACCATGAACAATTCAGTCAAGTTATAGTTAAAAGTGGCTGTACAGGAGCTTCCAGAGAGTGACTAAGGGAAGCTGCTACTGTGAGTAGGTTTCAATCTGGGTCTTGGGCGTGTCCCTACCCAACTCCTGGTTTTGAGTACATGTGACTCAGGGATCCTGGACCTGGATGCATTCTTCCCAAGTTCCAGACAACACTGCTTCTCAAGGAACATTTGACTGACTCTGTAGAGTCAGAGGGTGGCCACACAGAAGGGGATGAATCACAGAGTGATGTCACCCATTATGTGTCTTTCCAGTTATTGGAATAACTACACTCCCACACATGATTTGGCAAGTTCTTTTAAAATTTAGAAGTCTGAAAACCACCTAATATTAATTTTTACTTTAGAAACAATCTCCCAATTGTGCCTAAAAAAAAAAAAAGTTGAACAAGCAGATTCAGAATAGTTCCTTCTGGAATGCTGATGCTGGTTTTGTTTTTATTTCTGTAGCTCATGAAAGATGGGTCTAATTGTGATTGTGTCCTTGGCAGAGGACTCCAAGTAGAGAGTACATATCTTGGAGCAGGAAAGAAAAAAATATCCTAAGTATAATTTATATTATTTACCTCATCATTTTAAATGTTATAATTTTGCATCCCATATTTTTAGGATGTGCCTAATAGAGTAATACCACACATATTTAAGAATTTATATTTGTACATAATATATATATATAAATTTTCACTGATATCAATGCCTTATCCCAAAAATGTTTGCAGAGCATGGAAACAATAAAGAATATTCTGTCAACATTAAAAAAAAAATCACATGTTGCCTGGCAGGTTGGTTGATTCTAAAGGCTCAATTATGTCCCCAAGCTTGTAAGTACCATAGACAAATATTAAAATTCTTGAATTTTTATGGTAAGTGAAATCAATAAAAGAGTGAAAATCTATTAATATAAATCAGTCACAGCTAAAAATAAAACAAACAGAGCCTGGTCTAGGGGCACTACACATCATCTTATAACACATTTGTAACCCACATGCAAGGCCATGAAAATACTAATATCCCACATAAGTCTATTTCTCAATAGAAATTGTGTCAGAACACTGTACTCACTTAAGGTTACCCTACTATTGATTTTTTTTTTCAATCCAAGGAAATTCATTGAGTTTTTCTTCAACTTGAAAGTCTTGGAAATTCAAGAACTTGATCCTCAAAAATGGAAGTGTTAGAGGCAAAAGAAGACAGTGACTGTGCCTTTGTCATTATCAAAAAAAGTGCAGCACTTTGAATCGACTTAACCTGACAAATATGTGTGATTGCAGACAGAAAAGGTAAAGATGTTGGCTTTAACCACAACACCAAGGATCCACTTGTCCCAGTCACATGTGTGACTTACAATTATCACATGGTCCTCCTTCGGGAATGAGACGCCCTGCGAGGCTGAGTCATCTGCAGCACTGGGTGGGCCAGGCTCTTGGACAGAGTTTTCCTATAAGGCAAAATTCATTCATCAAGTCACTCTTATTTCATTACTGCTGGTGTTGAGTTTAAATAAATAAAAACTGTCTATATGGTCTTCCATTACTTCATCCTCACAGAAAGCTATGGAGAGGTCGACTTCCTCCTGATTCAATGAGTAAAACTGGGATGTCCAAATTCCCTGGGAATCACTTGCTCTGTGATGCGATAGTGACGGGGACTGTAAATTGAACTCCTCATCTACGGCCAAGAACCAGTGCCAACAGAACATGTATGCCAAAGGTGAACTGCAAGAGGTTTTTCACCTGGTGTCTTTATTAATAGATAAGTGATTAATATAAGGACATATACAAGAAATTATTACTACTTATCAACTTCATTGCCTAACACTCTATAATTTACCCAGGTTTGTCACTGAAATAAAAGTAGAGGCTTTATTAGTAAGTCTTTGGCCTGATTTCTTTCCTAAATTCTGCCCCTCACTTTAATAATCCACTCAAAATAACTACTCCATAAGATGAATCCATCCATCCATCCATCCATCCATCCATCCATCCATCCATCCATTAAAACTGGACATTGAGGAAAGCCAGATATCAAATGTGCTAGAGCTAGAGCATTCTTTTAAATTAAGGGTCCTTCATGTTATACAAAATGGCTGATCCACTTTAAAATATTATTGCATGCAATTAAAAAAAACTCTTAATGTGATAAGTACTGTTAGGAATATCCTAGGCATTAATTTATTCTTGTCCTAGAAGTAGAAAACAAGACCCAAAGCTGAGCAGGTCCTCACAGGTTCACATTCTCCAAGAACCAGACACCCTGTACTCTGGATCTAATTAAGACACAGCCACTCAACTCTGTCACCTCCAGCTCAAACCCAACACCACATGTACCCCTTGGTTGCCCTTACCTGCCCCTCAACACCACATCAAAATCTTTATGCCCAAGAGCACAGGCCCCAAATCACTGTGTGGTTCTGAACCTTAATTTGCCCAATTACTAGCTGTCTAACTTTCATATGCTTTTTAATCTCTCAGTGTCTGTTTATTATACTTAAAAAGTAGCTTTTATTGGTATGAGGATTAAGTGAGCTAATATATTTAGAGAATGCTCAGTGCTGAATAATAATGATCCCCACGAGTCCACACCTGAGGAATTCAGGGAGTGTCAGAGGGATGTGTATGTCCAATGCATTAAACTACAGCACCAGGAGAATTCTGGAATTCTCCCTCTTCTGCATTTGGAGAGTTAGTATTTTCCCTACTCCTGAAATCAATAGGAGGGAGAGTCCAGTAGAATCTTTGGTAGAAACTGGTGCTTGTAGGAAAGAGAGCTTATGTGTCTCACAATTCAATGTTTGCTTAGCTACCTGAAATTACCTAAACATCAATAAAATAAATTAAAGATAAATGGCAAATGTGAATGAGACCCATGCCCCTGGCTAGGCAAGGATGTTAGGCTTCCTGTGGGCCAAATGCTCAGCATGGAAGGCAACCCAACTTGAGCTTCTTGTTGGTCCTCCACCTAAGAAAGCTGACAACTGAGCAAAGGAACTAAAGTGAGCCTCTAGAGATGTAAGCCAAAGGGTGCTGGCAGAGCAAGAGGTGAAGCCAGATTTCTGATATGAAATTGGGCTTTTGGGAAGCTTCCAGGAGCACTCAAAAAGAAAGTCAGCCCATCTGTGACTGCCACACAGAAGGTATCCGCAGCTAGTCAGGGCCAGTCAGGGAAACAGCAGTAATTATTAGAGGTTACTCATGTGCCCCTTTCTGCCTCCTCCACAAAACCTCAACATGATACAACATAATGCAGAAAACTAAAAAAGAGGAGGGTTCACCCCTCTTTGAGGCAGGCACATGCACTCACCCCAACTCTAAGACCCCTAGATGCCAGGATAGTCAATGGGTGGAAAAGAAGAGAACTTTAAATTGGTTATTAGATTAGAATTTAAACTATAATGAACTAATGCTTTTCAATAGTCCAAAAAATATCTACAAAGTTAGTAAGCCTGCCCAGAGAATCACTACAAGGCAGAATGAGAGGCTTGAGAGAGCAAGTTGTAGAAAAGCTTGAGAGAAAAAGAACACTGTTTTATTTGTATCCAGGTGAGTTAAGACTGAGGAGTAAACTGGTTACATAGTATCACAAAAATTACAGAAATTATTACCTCCTAAAGCCAGCTTGTTATCCATACCACCTTGTACAAGTCCTTATTAAAAGGATTTTAAATATTATATGAGTGTAATTACCAGGAATTGTGTTCCTCTAAATTATACTCTTGGGGTCTCCCTATAAGCTCATAATCCTATTCTCTGAAATCTGACCCTCTACCCCCAAATCACAAGAGTGGGTTTCAGGTTTATACTGTCTCTGACTCGGCCTCAGCCTTCTCCATGGCTGATTGGTTAAGCGAAAATCACCTGATCATGAGATTGCTTGGCTAGCAGAGATCACAGACCAGCAAGGCTCACCTGTTCTCTGCTGAAGAGAGACAGTTGTGAGAAGGCAAAGACAATGGGTGGATTATTCCTCTAATAAATCAGAAAATGTCCCCCTCTACCTTTTACTGAACTTAATGAGTGAATACTATAGCTAATCTATTTATATCCATTCCTTTATCCAACAGTTGTTAACTGTTTCAAAATTTCAACCTCTTTAATTTTTAAACAACAAACTCTAGAACAGAGAAAAATCTACAGTACTGGTCCACTTGTTTTAACTTATGATTCTGATATATTAAACCAAATCTATTTTGAAACTGAAAAATATAAATGTCCCAATTAAACAAGTCTCTATTTTTCTTCCCTTTTGTCTTTAATTTCAGTGATTTAAATGGTTTGACATGTAACTGTGGTCTCTATTTTAATATCTACATGTGGCAAAACATTTCTAGGGTTTTTTTGTGAGGGTGGGGGAGTTTCAGTTCCACCTTTAAAAAGATAAACTTATGAGTTAGGCCAATGTTCTTCCAAGGTGGGATGCATTCCTCAGGGATATGAGCCCAAAAAGGAAAAATCTGTTGGTTATCAGGAAGGAAGTACTTAGGACTTCTGTTTATTATAGTCTTCTGTGCTTCAATTTCCTGTATATGCCTTATAATTGACATAATATTTTAGAGTATGATTAGGCATATAATTTACAAATAAATAGACACTCACATATTGGGTTTGCATGCTCAAGCTGACAAGAGTGCTCTTTTGAAAAGTTTAGGCACCACTGAGCAGAGAAATTGCCACTTTTTCTGCCAGCCTCTTTCAAACCTAGAACATAGTGCCATCTGGTGGTACCCTGAGACAGTGCATACATGTTATCTTTTGTGAGAAAGATATTCCTGTCATTCAAATAACAGGACAAATAAATAACAACACTCTAAGTTACCCATAATTTGAACTATATCATGAGAAACTATGAAAATTGTATTTCTATGGTTTCCTTTGACTTCTTCTAGGCTCTTTCCTCTGTCCCTCTTCATTAAAGGTAGATTCTTCTATAAACCCCATGTCTTTTTTCCCTGCCTTATGCAGACTTCTCTCATCCTGGCTTGCCTTCCCTTACAAATTTCTTAGGAAAGTCTTATTCTTCCTTTAAAAGTTTACCTCATGGTTCACCCCTTTGGCTCTTTCCCTGAGACTACCAGAATCTCAGCTCCAGACTGCACTCTTCTTAGGTACCTCCCTTAAAGCACTTTGTCCCTTTGACTTATACCTATATTCCATTAATTTCAAAGAATCACTGCCTAATATGAAGAAAATATGAACCACAAAAAATGAGTCAACATAAAAACATTAAATTTTTCAGGAGCCATTAAAATGTAAAAACAAACAAGTAAAGTTGATTTTAGTAACATTGTATTTAATCCAATATATCTGAAAATTATCATTTCAGTAAGTAACATAAACACATTATTAATGAAATAGCTTATATTCTTTTTAATACTAAGTCTTCAAAATCCAAGGTGTGTTTTGTATTTATAGCACATCTCAATTGGGACCAGCCCATTTCGAGAGTATAATAACTATGTGGGTCTAGTTGCTATCACATTGGACAGTGGAGTTCTAAAGGCAGCACCTGGTATCTCCTTGCTCTTTGTGAATATTTAACAAATGCTTTAAAAATAAATAACATTAAGTGGGCAATGGAACTTGCTGTTTTCTTGAAAATCAGGCTTTGGCATATCATGCATTAGGCCTCTGTATACAAACACTATAACAAATCTACAAACAAGTCTCTCCTATAAAAGAAAATAAAAAGAATCTATAGCAAATCGCATCTATTGCCAATTTTTCCCAAAAACTCCTTTTAGAGGTAAGTTTTACATATATGTATTTCACTGTATTTCAGTGGTATTCAAAGGAGCAATCATCAAACTCCTCTTTCTGTGCTTGTAGATCTCTTTACGACATTCCACAACATCTGAGTCACTTTTACAGCGTCCTGCCTTGCTAGCACCGTGCACGCACCCTCTCAAGGCAAGAACTAGTCTGTCTTGCTCATTGTCAACACTCAGCGTCTATCTTTATGGAAAGGACATCGTAACATTTTACAAATATATTTGTTGATTTGGAAAAGTTGAGAACTTAAATAAATGTATGTTCAATTTTTCTCTAGATTCCTGAATTTCATGTATGGTTTCATTCATTCCAAAACATGGAGTTCAGAACAGTATACGGAATGTGTGAGGCAGAAAAGAGTTATGCCTTTTAAAAACCTGTCTAACATACAAGGTTGAAAATTTAACCCCAACTAAAGACTCTCCTTCCCCGAAAAACTTTTCCCAGATTGACCGAACATCTTGTGTCCGTGACAGAGAGGGGCTGTACACATGCAGACAGCATTTCTGTGTATCACTCTTGCATATGCTCTGGTGAGCTTCCTAACAGCCTAGGGAAGCAAGATAGGCCAGGTGTTTCTTCCTCTTTTTATGATCTCCAGTAGGTTAAATAACTCACTAGGGTCAAAAATTCAATCAGTAGTAGAAAATAAATGTTCTAACCATTAAGAATATGATTCCATTATATATTATGGTTCCACCTCTGAAATTTAAGAATGAATTTTATAAGCCATTTAATTTTTAGTATCTTTCTGTCTTATATTTATATAATTTTTTTATTTTTTGTTCTTCTTTAGTTTATATCTTATGTAATCACATCTATTGCCAACTATTTCCCCAAAACTCTTTTTAGAGGTAAGTTTTATGTACAAGTATTTCAATGTATTTCAGTGGTATTAAAAGAGTACAGTAAGTCAAGACCTTCAGAACTCTTTGAGTATTAAAATACATAACATCAACACAGAATAAATAAGATGGGCAATCTGCAAAAAATCATCCAGACACAGTGGTCAGGACCAAATTGTACTGATGTGCAGGCTGGGTACTCTTCAACCTTGCAAAGTGCCAGGCTGCTGTATAGACTACAAACTATAACTGGTGGACTTGGAAGTGATTATCTCAAAAATCAGGGCAGGAAGAATATGCCTAGAAACTAAATATCAGCCCTACTGACTGAGTATAGACAAAGAGAATATTATCAAGGCTCTAGTGATTTCTGTAAGAGGAATGTGTGCTGAAGGAGGTGGACTTCAGCCTGAGCTGGCCTTCACAACCATAGGTTAGCCAACTCCAGGGCAGGACTAGACCCAGCTTCTTTTAATCTCTAACTTGGTACCCAGTAGGCCTAGTAGGACTCGTTCCTGACCTGCAGAAAATGTCAATGATTAATTTTCTTTAAAACAGTGTGTATGTGTGTATTCAAGGACTTTACAAGTGGCAAATCTCATTTAGGTGAGTAATAAATAATCACAAAATAAGCACAAGTAGTTCTTTTTACTTCCAAAGTACTTGGAAAATTCCAGAAACTGCTATTAAAACACTCCATTGGCATACAGTTTGAGATCCATGCCTACTTTTTAAAAGTGAATGGCTCTTAAAAAGACAGTTTTACTCATTTCCAAAGCCTTATAAATAATTTAGGTAACCCGAAAAGCTTCTGAAGAGGTTTCATTGCAGGGAGAAGAAACATCAAAAGCTCCAACTCGGTACACAGTTTTGAGTAAGTATAATACAATTCAAGGTGTTAAAACAAGCATCTCCTCTGCCTTACCTCTGGCTGTCCACCTCTTCCTGGTAGGCCAGGCATTTTGTTGAGTTTTCTTTGAGCAGTCTGTCAGTGAAGGGCCCTGAGGACACAGAAAAATTGTATCAAAATTTTCCTTCCACAACTCACACTTGGCTTCAAAAGAAAAAAAAAAGTGGAAGAGTGATTGTGTCTTCAGTGTGGCCGCTCAACTGCAACTTCTGGGTTGAGGCTAGATAATTCTTACCTGCTGGCAGGCAGGCCTTGCCTCACATTCACCTTCCACCCATGAGAGAGCAGCAAGAGATGTGTGGGCTCATTCAGTCCTCGTTCCCTTTCAGACATTGACATAGCATAATTTGTGAAATAATTGGACTCCACTGAACCCTAGAAGTAGGGCCAGGACACTGGCCTACCCTCGGTTTTTACCTTTCATTTGTCAGGACTTACTTAGTCAAATTCAATTTTGAGACTGTCCATTCAACTGATAAAAATTACTACATCATCTCAGGAAGGGAGAAAAAAATGCAGGTAGGAGGGGCTCTGCAGTTCCTTCAGCTCACAGAAACGTGCAGTGCCTATTTAAGCACAATGCCCTGTGGTGGGCCTGCTGGAACATGTGTGCAGACATGGCCCCTGCCTTCAAGGGACAGACAATTTACTTGGGAAGATAACATATAAAAATGTGCACACAGAGAAAGTTGCAATAGCAATCGAAGAGAGCAGAGACTGAGACGCAGTTATCAGGGAAGAGGGCAGGTTCTGAGCCAGATGGTGTGGATTCAGGTCCAAGTTCTGCCATCTCGTGACCTCACTTAACCTGTCAGCATCTCTGTTTTTTCAGCTATAAAACAGAATTAATAAATATATTTACTTCATCTGATTGTGTGATTATTAAGAACAAATTAGAACAGTGCCTGACATATACGAGGTGCTCAGAGAGTAGATATTATCCTATAATTTAGATCAAAATACCCGGAATAGGAAGAATTTTAGAACCTTGTGTTAGCAAGTTTTTCCATCACTGTGACCAAAATACCTGACAAAAACAACTTAGAAGACGAAAAGTTGATTTTGAAGAGATTATGGTTTTCAGAGATTTAGTCTATGGTCAGTTGATGCCATTGTTCTGGGCCCAAGGTGAGACAGAGCATCATAGCCGAAGGACGTGGCAGAGGGAAGCTCATGGTGGCCAAGAAGCAGGGGGTGGGACAGGACCACAGGGAAGATGCACTCTTCCAGGGCACACCCCTCCTTTCCCCATGACCCACCTCTTCCTGCCACCTCACCTGCCTACAGTTACCATCAGTTAGTGCATTCAGCTAGGATGGACTGATTAGGTAACGGCTCTCACAGTCCAATCATTTCACCTCTGAATATTCCAGCATTAACACAGGAGCTTTGGGGGGACACATCACATTCAAACCATAACAAGCCTCAAACGAGGGAGAAAAGTTTCTGGTTTGATCAATTTAAAAAGATTATTCAGAGTAAATATAATTTTACTATCTGAAATAAGACTTGAAAAGGAGAGCCTCAGTCAACATAAGCAAAGTCATAAAAGGCAGAAAAAACAGAAGTATTCAGAGAACCAGAAGTAGGACATTTTAGTTAAAGTGATATTTTTTTCCCACTGAATAATAGGAGGAGATGGTGTTTAGGGATGTGGCTTGTTATAGAAGAGCTGAGCACCAAGACAACCACTGTGCATTTTACTGTGTGTTTTGTGCAATAGGACATCTGGACAGGAGAATTACAGAACAAGAGTGGTGTCATTGCAAGGTTAATTCTGCTGCACTTGGAAGTCAGATGCAAAGGGAACAGAGACTCCACGCAGGAAGGGCATTCATGAGACTATTACAGGTGCAAGGGCTGAGCCATGAATCACAAGATGCTCTCATAAAGAACTAGCAAAGGGTCTTGGGGCAGATGAGAGGTGAGAGGGAGCTGAGAGGCAGCCTGAGTGAGGAGACTCCTGATGGCACCAGTGACGCAAATCTCAAATGAGTGAGTTAGGAGATCCAAAGTTTTGGGGAGTGGTGAAGAGGAAAACAGAATTGCGTTCAGGACAAAAACATTTGAAGGATACATAACACAACCCAAAATGAAATCTCACTAGGACGGATGAAGGTAGGAAATTGCTGCAGGAAAGAAATTTAGCTTGAAAACTAGGTTAGGAATCCTCAGATCATGGAAGCCAGGGGATGATAAATTCACAGAGCTGGTCAGTGGTTAGGAAGAGAGAGGAAAAAAGACATGGGCCTCCTCAAAGAAGAAATGTCGACCTCCAAGAAGAAATGGTGACCTTTCTCCCTACCACAATGGCAATGAAAGATAATGTTTTGATCTAAATCAATAAACAAATGAGTGGAGGAAAAGACCTTGGCTGGAAGTCAGGACCACAAGGGGTTCTATAATTTAGGAGTCTGTAGTTAATATATTAGGGTCCTTCCAGCTCTAAAGTTTTACATGATTCTAGTTTATTCCCAGAGGTGTTATTATTGAGGACTTTATTCTTTTTAAATTATTTATGTTTTCCAGGAATCCCTAATAAGAATATTTAATATTTTAGTATTTTAGAATTTAATAAAATATCTGACTACAGGGTTAAGACCTCCTCTTAACAACCTTCAAGGAAAATGTAGATATTATAGATAGTCCATTGGAATGTTTATAGATCTAATTTATTTAAAAGGAATTTAAATATATAATTTATATAGCTAACCTACATAAAGTGATGACCACATTTCATATCTGTACTTTCAAGGAGAAAAATAAAATACATGCCAATTATTCTTCATTTTTATTTTTAATGCTGCATAGTATGCGTAAGGCTACAAGTTACTTATATATTTTTAAAAAATAAATTCCTCTCTATCAATTCTAAAAATACCCAGACATTTCATTGATTTAGTCAGAGGACACTGAATGCATGGGGAAATACACTGGTAAGAAAAAATATAAAAGATACTCTCTGTCTGCACAGAGTAATGGTGAATTTCCCACCTTGGCATCTTTCCCTTCATTCCCGCTGCACCTATAACAATTTAACTGTGCTCAGTGACTTCTGTTGAAACGTGCGATGGAGGATGAATGGTACAACATGAACTGTTAAGCAGAGCATCACACATCACCACCCCTGAGAGTTCCTTGAGCATTCTTAGTCACTAGGAAATTTTCATCAACTGTGTTCTTCCTTATACCTTAGCCTCCTGCCATGTCACTGGGCTCCCCTCACCTCTCTCTCTCTCTCTCTGTCTCTCTCTCTCTCTCTCTCTTTCTCTCTCTCTCTCTCCAGGGAAACTTCCCCTGTGCCTGCCCTGCCCAGGGTTAATGGCCTGTTTCCCTGTCTTTTCTACCTGCTAGTGGAAAATCCAAAAGGCCTATCCCTTCGTTATGCCCATGATACCAGGCCACTTAGCCCTCCTGCCCCTCCCCAGACATGTCCCAGCTTGCACATTCTGTCTGAAGTCCTCAAATTCAAGCATGTGTTAACATCACTGGAAAACTTGTTAAAACCATGATTGTGGGCTCCGCCCTAAGAGTTTTAGATTCAGTAGGACTGAGGTGGAGCCTGAGAATTTGCTTTTGTAAATTATTTTCCAAATCTGCTGAGACGGCTAGTGATCTGCCACAATCTGAGAGGATCACGACTTTAAAAGGCTTTTAGCAAGATTTCCAAGCCATAGAATCACCTGCACACTCCTGACCTCACCATTAGCCAAGCAAGGGGGAACCTGAAGCTTTTAAAGTTTCTCTCTATCTCGGACCTGGGTAAGATGATCTCCCCTAGGAATGTGTTCTACTAGTACAAGCCATTCTTAACATATTCTGCACCTATATAGAGAATTCTTACAGCAAGGATTCTGAATCTATTTTTTAATGTTTACCTGCTACTTTCAAACTTCATTCATCCCTTTTCCCATTGTGCACCACCTTTAGGCAGGCTGAAAATAAAGTGTGGGTGCTCTCTGCTTTGGCATCAGTGACAGTTTCCAATCATATAATCCTGTGCACAAGTGAACTCTCACCTTGGTCTATCCCTTAATGACCATGAAAACCCAGGCAATCTTTCCTGGCTTTCTTAGGCCACTTGGGAAGGCTTGAGAGGTCTATCCTACTCTTGCCGGAGACTTCAGTTATGCCAATAACAAATCTTTTCATAGCCTCATCTGAATCAAACTTTGGTGGGGGTCTCTGATGCTTTTGCAAGGTGACAACTCTCCCAGTTCCCAGAGAGTGTCCCTTTCCTTTTACATTTACCTAATAGAAATCACCCTAGGCAACTATATGCATAGAATTAAGTAAAAGTTTAAGTATGAACTTTAACGACCACCCCTCCCACCATCCAGACTACCAGAAATTGGGTCCAGACATTACTGGAATAAGATCAGAACTACTATGGAATTTCATACCAACCCAAGAGAAAAATCCTAAAGATACTTATAGTAGCAGATGGCTCTATAGTCATAAATATGACATCCTGCCCCATTCATAGACCTGGAGCTGCCAGTCAGCTCTTCTATGCCCCATTTTAAAAATGAGCAGGCAGATATGGATCATCAGACATCTGAGGAAAATATCTAATAGGAAAGGTAAGATCAGAGCCAATAACAATATCATTAATGTCCTCAAAGAGAGAAAGCAATGTATTATACCTATGAAACAAAAATAAGACAATATATAAAAATATGTAGAGAACAAAAAGGAGTTCCAAGAAGTCAGAACTATGGTAATAGCAGAAATGAAAAACTCAAAAGAACCAGAAATCTTGCATAAAACGAAGAAAAAGACCAAAATATGAAAATGGAAATGAAAAAAAATAGAAAATTATAAAATTCCATAGGTCAAAGGTCCAAATAATAGAAAATCCAAAAAAAGAAGGAAAAACAAGAACTTAAGAGTAACTAATCAAAATGTAATACTAAATAATTTCCAATAATGAAGAAATTAGTTTTCACATTGAAAGGTACACAAAAATCCTAATATAATGAATGAATATAGACCTACATTATAAAATTTCAGAACAATAGAGAAGAGCCTAAAAACTTTGACAATTTTTTTCTTACAAAAAATCCAAGAATAAGAATAGCATTGGACCAC